GAGAGAGAGAGAGAGAGAGAGAGAGAGAGAGAGAGAGAGAGAGAGAGAGAGAGAGAGAGAGAGAGAGAGAGAGAGAGAGAGAGAGAGGGGTAGGTGGATGCCACTGCTACTGCTGAAGGAGCAGCAGCAGCGGCCACTTCTGCACACTCACATCTGTCTCTTTCCTCCTAATGCCTGTGGCATGTGGTCCTCCTTGTGCGCATGACTATGCTGTCATCTCCTCTGCTCTAAGCACCTCCTCCCGACTGACTCACTGCAATCAAACCAACGCAGCGTTGCTTGTGCCAACTGTCATCTTCACCCAAATAGAACGCCTGGTCATTATCGCTGCATGTAGACCGGAAGTTGGCCCAAATCCCGCCATAATGACCGTGCGTTCTATACGGATGAAGATGGCAAGTCCGCCGTGCCAACGCGTCTTTTTTTTTTTTTCGCCAGCAAGCCAGCCTGATCCTGCCTCAAGCTACAACATGCTTGGGATCAGATGCAACACACACACTCGCACCAACAAGCTATAACATGCCTGCTCATAGAGAACACGCTTGCACTCCTCGTCCTCAAATGTGAACACCCACCATTTTTCATTTATTGTAATATTTTTTTGGACCATTTCTCGATTCACGTCATGTCATCCTTGTGCAGGGATCATGCGAATCTTCCTTCTCTGCATCGTTCCATTTTTTATTTTTATTTTTATTTATTTATTTATTTATTTTCAACTCTGCATCGTTCCAATTCCAACGGATGTCCCAAAGCACAAACATCCAGCAGCATATACCGTATCATTGCTAGCACCGACAATCATATCATCACGCTGTCATAACACTCGTTGTGCCAGCAACCAAGTACAAGAGCCTTGCCACACCACGGTCGAAACGAAAAAAAGTTCGACTGCATCTTCACGCAGAACCTGGCAAGATGCATCGGTTACTATGAATAGCAACGGATGCATCTTACCACTTTCTGAGGTAGATGCATTCTTTCGTTTTTTGTTTCGACAGTGGTGTGGCGAGGCCCTAACTCCGCATCGAGCTATTGATGAGCCACCTCAAGTTACAACGCACTTGCTCAGATCCGAACATCGCCGAGCCTGATTCCGTGCGTCACTCCTTTCGCCGCCGACAAGGTTCACACTGACATACATGTCCTTTCTTGTTGTGCCAGCAACAAAGCCTAATGCTGCATCAAGCTTGCTTCTTCTGTTGACAACAAGCTTTTGCTTAGCTCTGAAAATCCAACAACATGATTTACTTCATCATTGCTCGCACCGACAAGCCTCGCGCCTTCGTTGTTCTGACAAGCAACTCTACTGCTCCCTCAAGCTGCTGTTGCTGCTTCCGCTGATCACAGACTTGCTCATACCTGAACAATATCCGATGTGATTCGTCTACCGTCTTCCCCCGAACACAACACATCCCGATAATGAATGCATACAAGCTATCTTTCCGGTCCGGTGCAGCCAAAATCAGGGTACATTTTGTTCAGCGGAAGACGGCGGTCGCCCTCTGGCTGGAAACGTTTCTTCAACTACCTGTTCACAGGCTGCGGACCGAAAATAAACTCCAGAGCTGAGAAGGGTTTTCGAGTGCGGCGCCATGGCCGCAACATGAAATCCAATGTGACTTGAGATTGATATCGCCGTCACGATTGCTGCCTGCTTCTTCAAGTTCAGTTCTTAGCTTCCAGAGACTCGAACTCTACCGCTAGATCTGAGCAGTGTCTGAGTGCAGAGCCATGGCCTTGCTGCTGGCAGTCCCACCTCCACAACAGATACCTAACATCGTCATCACCTTCTGTTACTTGAACCACTTCGGCGGCCGTCGATTTTTTTTTTCTCTCCGAGTTTTGCTTGTGGCGACAAATACTTTCTGCAAGGCTGGGGCCGTGTACTTGCGCTTCACATGCAGAGCCATGACCGCAGGCTGGCAATCCGCCTCAGCATGGCAAACTTGACGTCGCCATTGCCACTTGCTTCTTGAACCACCTGCCTGTTCTCTCAGAGAACTACAGAGGGTCGAAGAGGAGAGCCCCGCTTGATTCTTCGAGTACCCCTGTGTCTGACTACCGAGATGCAACCCTCGTTCTGACGAGGGTTTAAAGCACCAGCACACGGCAAATTGGCCCGCGGGGGTCAGCAAGAAGCCCGCACCACTTCGGCGGCCGTCGATTTTTTATTTATTTTTTTTCAACGGCGCCCCACGCTGCGTGGCCCATCCGACTTTTGATTGTGGCGACAAAAACTTTCTGCAAGGCAGGGGCCGTGTACTTGCGGTTTACTTGCCGAGCCATGACCGCAGGCTGGCAATCCACCTCAGCACGACAAATTTGACGTCGCCATCGCCACTTGCTTCTTGAACCACCCGCCTTTTCTCTCAGAAAACTACAGAGGGCAGGTCAAAGAGGAAAGCCCGGCTTGCTTCTTCGAGTAGCCCTGTTCTCGGACGACAACCGAGATGCAAACCCCATTCTGACGAGGGTTTGAGTGGAGAGCCATGGCCGCAGCTGGCAGTCCGCCTGAGCAGGGCAGATTTGATGTCCCCATCGCTACCTAACTTCTTCAACCACATGTTCTCCCAGAAAACGACAGGGGCAAAGAGGAGGGAGAGCCCAGCTTGATTCCTCGAATACCCTTGTTCTCCGACTACCGTCATGCACCCCCCCCATTCTGACGAGGGTTTGCGTGGAGAGCCATGACCACAGATGGTAGTCCACCTCCGCGCGGCAGATCTGCCACCGCCGCCATACCATCGCCCCTTGCTTCTTCAACCACCTGTTTTCTCAGACTATAGAGACACAAGCCCAGATCTGAGGAAAGCCCAGCTTCTTTTTCCTCTCTTTCTCCTTACCTCCACTTTTTTGAGAAAAAAGGGCAACAGACTTGAGATGTCATCATCAAACTGACTTTGCCCCAGGTAATTCAAAATTAGGGTATACCACTCATCTGGACTCGAACTGGGGTCTATGTTTCAACAGTTCGTGGGTGTCCGAACTGCGCTGGGCCCGTCGGTTCTTCAAGTAACCCTGTTCTCTCTCAGACTACAGAGATGCAGACCCAGATCTGCGCAGTGTTTAAGCACAGAGCCATGGCCACGGCTGGCAGCACATCTCCACGTCGCAGAGAGATTTGCCCACGCCATCTTCACCTGTGTTGTCTTCAAGGTATCCAATTTCTCAGACGACAGAGGCTCGAAGCCCAGATCTGGGCAAACCCCAGCTTCCCGGCTTTTCCTTCTTCAACCACCCCTGCTCTCTCACACAATACAGAGACTGGACCCACAGATCTGAGGAGGGCTTTTTGACTGCAGAGCCATGGCCACAACTGACGGCCTCCGTGTCGCAGATTCAATGTCGCCATTGCCACTTGCCACTTGCGTCTTCAAGTACCCCTGTTCCGAGACTGCAGGGACTCACAGTCCAGATCTGAGCAAAGCCACGTGCTTCTGCCACTTGCTTCTTCAAGTACCCCTGTTCCCAGACTACAGAGCCTCGAACCTGTCGTCAGATCTTGTTTCTCAACATTCATACCCTTCTCTTGTGGCTTCACACTCAAGACCTTTCTCAGATCTCTGGCTTTGCACTCATATCCTTCTCAGATCGTGTGGTTTTGCACTCATACCCTTGCTCAGATCTCTGGCTTTGCAATCATATCCTCCTCAGATCTTGTGGTTTTGCACTCATACCCTTCTCAGATCTTGTGGCTTATTGCACTCATACCCTTCTCAGATCTTGTGGCTTTGCACTCGTACGCTTCTCAGATCTTGTGATTTTTGCACTCGTAACCTTCTCACATCTGAGTGTGGGACCACAAAAGAGTTGATGTTATCATTGCCATGCTTGAAGTTGCTTCTGCTCCCGCAGCTGGCCGTATGCCACGTGGCAGTGGCAGTAAATGTTCGAGCGCACCTGGTGCACAAAAGTGGACCAGATTCACAGTGAATAGAAGAAAGAACCTCTCTGCAGAAAACATATAGATATAATTCATGTTTAGAACTTTTAGAGTCTTTAGACAGTTTAGCTGTTATGTACACACAGATGTTCCGGGCTTTAGGCCCTTCATACCTCGATGCACTGCATATTTACATGGCACATACTATGTACCTCTTTCATACCTCAACGCACTACATAGTACACAGGACAGACTATACCTTGCTAAACACTACGCACTACATACAGTACACAGTCCAGACCATACCTTGCTAAACACTACAGACTACATAACACATAGTACAGACTGTACCGTGCTAAACGCTACGCACTACATAGTACATAGTACAGACTATACCTCGCTAAACACTACATCATCGAAACGAATATGGGTGCAAAACTCAGCAGCAGAAAAGGCGCATTGATTAATTAATTCATTCGACGCTAGTAATTGGATTGGAATTCCAAACAGACTCAAAAAAATCATTAAACGTACATCAGCAGATCGATCTATGTAGTATGCAGTGTGAGCGGACTTATACAAGATAAGGACGACTGGCACCACACCTACATCAGCTGTGTCTACTACTAAGGAATGAGCGAATGGGCAAACGACATCCACCCCACGTACATACATCCGTACACGCAACACACGGTCACACTCCTTCACAAAGATACATGCAGCACGGGTCCCAATGGTCCCAATGGTCCCAATGGTCCAATGGTCCCAATGGTCCCAATGGTCCCAATGGTCCCAAAGGTCCCAAAGGGGAGGACAGCGGCCACTACAGTTCAAGGAGAAGCGACATAAGCGTCGAGTGAAAGATCCGGCAAACGCCAGCCGCAACTCTAATTGACAGCTTTTTTAGGACAGTTATCAAATCTGACTATATGCTCCAAAACACTCGCAATTCTTACGTACACTATCACAAAAAATACAGCACAAAGGCCACTGGAGCAGATACGTAGAGTAAATCAGCAGGCTTGCTAGAGGGGGGACGCTAGAGGCGCGTATATACGTGCAGCACGAGTCTCTATGGTTCAAGATAAGGGGAAATGATGACCACACACATCTCTCTTGGCGACTGGGTACACTGAGCTGACCGTCTCCCGGTCAGAAGCTATGGGCCTCGCTCCGCTACTCACCAGAAGTGCAAAATGTGAATGAATGAATGAATTTTTAGCTAGAACATGGAAAGATACACCGCCATAATTTTTTGTCTTTTGTGCATGTGGTGAGTAGTGGATCGAGGCCCTATACGTGATGTGACAGCTTTGCTGTCCACCCTCGACACAACATATGTCTCTTGGCGACAGGGTATGCTGAGCTGAGCGTCTCCGGGCTAGAAGCTATGGGCCTCGCTCCACTACTCACCAGAAGTGCAAAATGTGAATGAATGAATGAATCTTTAGCTAGAGCATGGAAAGATACACCGCCATATTTTTGTATTTTGTGCATGTGGTCAGTAGTCGATCGAGGCCCTATATGTGCTGTAACAGCTTTGCTGTCCCCCCTCCCTTGTGCCATCGTCGGCGACCTGTCAAAGCGACTGTAGCCTTGAACAGAATGCACATGTCGCTTCTTTTCTATGTCATGACTCTCTTTGAACACATTCTAATACATTGCCAGTAATTGCCGGTAAAAAAAAAAAAAAAAAAAAAAAAAAAAAAAAAAACACACATTCCCCATAATGAGCAACCGGACTGTGGTCCCCCGAAAGAATACAGATGGGGCAAGAGTGCGTTGGGGCTTAAACCACTAGTACTTCAGCAGCCAGTGTTGGGAATTTGTTAAGAGTTTTTGTCAGTTCCCGAAGAAATGGGGGGTGGGACCCAGGGTCGGCAAGTCCCATAAATCTTAGTTTTTTCTTTCGCCGGCGCGTGAAATACAAGGAACCTAACTGTTAACAGCTTGCTGGAGTGTTCACGATGCATGCGTAAATGTCATCACACAGATTAAGTAGTCTCACACAAAGCCAAGACGAGATGGAATGAGAATGAGAACCAGATAGCGCGGCTCATATTCTCAAAGTCACATTATACAAGAGTATCTTGAGTTCACGAGTCCAGCGCCAAACAGATCACAAGTCTTCTTCAATCATCCGTCAACAAAGGGCCTGGCTCAGCTAGCGTCTCCCCTCAGATCACGAGTATGACGCCGACAGGTAAGTAAGTATCCACCATGTCCAACTTCATAACCTGTCTTCTCTCTCCCTCTCTTCTCTCTCAAGATTTCTGTCCTAGTTCCCTCGTCTCAACATGCATGCACACTCCCTATCTACGAGAATCTACTTTGAATGCTACTCACTGATATCCTACTACTAACCCTTCTTCTACTACTAACACAAGCTGGCGCAGCTATGGCATCTTCTGCAGCCAGCGCCCGACACTTCTTCCTTCTGGCGCAGCTCTCAAGCCAGCGCTCTTCCCCTGCACTATAGCGCACAAGTGCCTCAGCACTTCCACGCATCAATGCCAATGGAGAATCTGCCTTGTGGGGAGACTGCCTCGTTTCTTATAGTGCTGGCCTCCCTTTGCGAGGTCTGAATTCAGTCTTTCTTGGGTCCTTTCCCAGTCCCAGGCCTCTGTGGAGTGTGTCCCAGTTCCTTATCCTCAAGGTCTGCTGCTGCTGGGGCCTTCAGGCCTGAATTTCGGACTTCCATTCTGTATCTTGACTTTCCCTTTGACTTGAATCTGGACTGGGACCTTATCTCTTTGACTTCTTTATGAACAGACACACCTACTGTTCGACAGACACACCTCCTGCGCCAACAGACACATCTTCTGTACGAGCAGACACATCTCCTGTACGAACAGACATGACTTGCACACCCCCTGGATGAACAGATGTGCCTCCCACAATTGAATACTGCAACTGTTCGTCCAGGGGCACAACTGTGACCTTTGACATGACTTTTTACTTTAGTTAGGATGTGACTTTTGCCCCAGAGAACATGTCTTTTGATCTGCTTTTCATGAGTTAGGCTCTGGCCGAGTGACCCCATAATGCTGCGTTCGTCATTCAGGGTCTGAATCGGGTAAAGGCCCTTTTAGAAAGGAAAAGGTGGGGGGGGGGGAGGGGAAAGAGCTTTCTGTACTGCAGTGATGCAGGGCAAGGTAGTCTAGGAGACGCCGTGCACTCTACGGAATGCATCTTACAGCAAACACGGTCACATTCTGAAAGTTGCTGGGTTTTTTTTTTTTTTTGTGTGTGTGTGTTTGTTATGAGTCCCCCCCCTGCCAACGAGGCAAGGCGGAATCCATGATCTGCTCAAGCTGTGTTTCCTCAAGAGGATTGTAATTTGTAACCCTGGGCCGTGGTCCCATTAGCAAAGAGCATCCGATTGAATGCCTGAATCTGGACGTGTTTGAGGACAGGAGCAGGAAATCGAGATAGAACTGCTTTTCTGTATCTCTGCATAAAACATAGCCAGATTCAGGATTTCTATCCTATCCCCTTCGCTAGTGGGACCACGGCCCTGATCACACTGACATTTAGAGGAATGTATCTAGCCATTTCCACGGCCGAATCCATGTTTCCGTTTTTCTTTTTGCTTTTTTTTGTGTTTCTGAAATCTGACAATCTGCTCAAGCTGTGTTTCCTCAGAGGTCAGAGAGATCAGGAAAAAAAAAAAAAGAGAAAAGAAAGCGTTCCCGCCCCAAAAGAANNAACAGCCCATGTCGTTGAGAGAGTTACACACATGTATATTTTTATTTTTTATTTTTTTTAAGACACATGTATATTTCAATATAACTGTTAGCCAACAGATCATTTGTTCGAATCCTGATGGAAAGAGATGAATGCAAGAATAATACTACCGGTAGGGGCTTAGCTAAAACCCTTTTTCTTCCTTTTTTTTTTGCTAAAACCCTTTTAAAAGGTAGAAAGCGGGAAAAAAAGCTAAAAAAAACAAAAAAAACAAAAAAAACAAAAACCATCACGATGGATACAAGTCACCATCCTCCCAGACATTTCAAAATTTTAAAAAAGCACATTACATTACCTGTGAATCTCATCACCAGGGCGCGTATCGTCATACAACCGAAGCCTGCCGCCGAATTGAGCACAATGCCGGCCGCCCTGTGCTCGCTACGCCTGCGCCTCCTCGCAGCAAGGCCAAGCGCGCCACTGCGCAGCAGGGCAGCAAATGTGGGGCAATCGCGCCACTGATTGGCGGGGACGCTCGTTGACGCAGAACTCGTGCCCTTCAGTCACTTCCGCTCTCTCTAGACCAGTTGCCGCAGCGCGCCATCGCCTGACCTCCACCATCCCGATCCCCTCCCTCTCCCTTCTCTCCGTTCCATCCTCTCTGAAGCGCCCACAGGCAGAAGACAGAAAAAAAGGGCTTTGACACAACCGCTGCACCACGACATCGACGTCTACCGCCCACCGTCTCTCTCTCTCTCTCTCTCCCCTCTGAAGGCTCACAAGCAGAAGATGGAATGTTTTCCTACACAGAGGGGGAAACTCAACCGCAGCAGCAGCATGGTTTCGCTAGCTGGACAGCTGCGCGGTACCGCACAACGGCCCTTATGCTTCGATCCCGCCATCATCATCACCATCGACCCAGGCGGATTTGCTGATACGTTCACATTGCTATAAATTACTCCATCTTCTTCGACACACCAATCAATGAACCAATCAATCAACCAACCAATCACTCAACCAATCAATCGAAGACCCCGACAGCGGCTGCTGCAAGTCCTCCTCCCGCTCCTCCATTTGCGCTGACGATGGCCGACTTCCCCACCACCTTGGGCATTTTCGCACTGGCAGCATCCTGCACGTCCTTCATCTTGTAGTAATGCGGAGCGATGGCCACCAACCACTCCGGTTTGATCTCCACCACTTGCCGCATGTATTCCTTTGACGTCAACACTAATTCGTGATAGACCACCCACCTCGGCAGCGACTTCGCCAGCCCCGAACTCGGATGGATATGCACAGTCTGAGGGTTCTTGACCGTTCGATAGACCCCGCTCTTCTGCAGCTTGGCCGTGTGATAGAAGTACCCGGACGTGATTGCCTTGATGATGGCCTCGACGTCATTCAAGCTGCTGGTGATTTCGATCTCCACCCTCTCCATCAGCCCTTCCAACTGTTCGCGAATGTCTCGCGCTCGTTTCATCGACCTCACTTGGATGTAGTTCTCGTAGCACCATTGAGAGGAGAAGTTGGTGTCCCTCCATCCGTTGTACACCCTGAGCAGCGCAATGTGGTCCCCCACATTGCCCGCGTGGAAGTTCTGCCGCGCGTTGTCCGCGTGCACCTGTTTGTCCTTCGGTCGGTAGAAGATCGAGTTCCCGATGGACAGCATTGCGGCGACGGAGAGGATCTCTTCGGAGCAATTGAAGCCGTCGGATGCGATCAGCATCTTGGCGAGCATGGGATCGAGCGGGAATTCCGCCATCCTCCGCCCGAGTTTCGTCAGTTCCCCGCGCGAATTCAGCGCGCCCAGCGCGTATAACTGCTCCAGTGCGCGGATTAGGGTTTCCGACGGCGGGGGATCCATGAAGTCGAAATTGATTAGGTCATTGATTCCCAAGCTCTTGAGCAAGAGGACCACGTTGCCAAGGTTAGTCCGCTGGATCTCCGGCACGGTGTTGTCCTCCATCTCGTTCTGAAACGACCAGGCGGTATACAGGCGGAAGCACTTGCCGGGGGAGGTTCTCCCCGCGCGGCCCGCGCGCTGCATCGCGGACGCCTTGGAGATCGGCGTCACCACCAACGACTCCATCCCCGACCTCGGATTATAACTCTTCTGCTTACAGAACCCAGGATCGATCACATACTTGATGCCGTCGATGGTCAACGACGTCTCGGCGATATTCGTGGCAAGCACGACTTTGCGCGCGCCGGGCGGCGTGGGCTCGAAGATCTTGGCTTGCAGATCCGACGGCAGGTTGGCGAAGATCGGACAGATGATCAGCTCCCGCACTCGGGATCCCAATCCCCGCGTGCGATGTTTCAACGACTCTTCAGCCGCCTCGATCTCCTCTTGCCCAGTGAAGAAGACCAACACGTCGCCGTCAGGCTGCGTGACATGTATCTGGAGCACCGTCACGATCGCCGCGTCCACGTAATCGGCCTCAGGCGCCTTCGTGTAGAGGATGTCGACGGGATACCGACGACCAGGAATGCGGAAGATGGGCGCGTTATCAAAGTACCCCGAGAACTTTTCCGCGTCGAGCGTGGCGCTAGAGATCAACAACTTGATGTCCGGTCGAAATCTGGCAATGTCCTTCACTAGTCCGAACAACACGTCCGTGTGCAGAGTCCTCTCATGCGCTTCGTCCACCATCATCACGGAGTAACTCGCTAAGTCAGGCTCCCCTAGGAACTCCCTAAGCAGCATCCCATCAGTCATGTACTTGAGAACCGTCCGATCGGACGTGCAATCTTCGAATCGAACGGAATAGCCCACCTCATTGCCCAATCTTACCCCCATTTCTTGCGCCACGCGCGCCGCCACACTCATAGCTGCCACTCTCCTCGGTTGCGTGCACCCTACCTTTCCCCTCTTCGTATACCCCGCTTCATGGAGGTATTGAGGGATTTGTGTCGTCTTGCCGGACCCCGTTTCCCCCACGATCACCAGCACTTGATGGTCTTCGACGGCCTGGATCAGCTCGTCCTTGAAGCCGTAGATAGGAAGGGACTTGCGGTCTTCTTGCAGCTTCTCTGCCGCCGAAAGCCGCATAGATCTCTCCCGCTCCTCCTCCCCCTCCCCCTCCTCCCCACCCTCCTCCCTCCCATCGCTCCCCGCCATAATCGATTCCTTGATGAACTCGATCTGGTCGTCGAAGACGTAATCGTACTCCTCCTCGTTGCTCTTTCCCGCGCTGTCCTTCTTGTCTGCCGCGCCGAATTTCATCGTCGCCTTGGCAATCTGATGCTCTTCCCACGCCTCCTGCTCCGATCGCCGAGACTTTCGGCCCCCCGCTCCCCCAGCACCCCCCTTCTTTCCTCTCCCTCCCTTCTCTCCTCCTCCATCCTCTTCTTCTTCTTCCTCCGGGTCTTTGTATCTCCTCATCAACGCCGCAAACCTACCTTCCTGGTCAACCTTTCCCTCGTTGTCATACGCATCTGGAATCCTATACTCCCTCACCTTCTCCACCTCCTTCTCCGCTCTCTGGGCAGCTAACTCATACACCTTCCTCTTGTACCTTAGCTCCGCTTCCTCCCTAGCCGTCAATTTCACCCCCTCGAATAGGAATTCCTCGTCCTCTAGTGCATCTCGAAGCTCTTCCAGCTTCTTCGTCTCTCTCATCTTTAAGTACTCTTGCCTCGACATCTCTCTCAGCAATGGCATCATCGCTGACTTCTCATCTTGCGAAGCCTTGCCGCCACCTGCTTTCAGCGACTTCAACTTCTTCCCCTCCGCGGCAGGGACATCATCATCATCGCCATATCCATCCCCTCCACTATCCTTTTCCGCTTCGTCTTCCTCGTCTCCATCACGTGTGAAGCCGTCGCCGCCGCCGCCGCCGCCATAGCCAGCCTTCGTCGACCTCGATCCGTGATGACCTGCCAGTTTGCGCGTCGCTTGCTCGTCGCGCGCGCGAAGCCTCTCCTCGAATTGCTCCTTCTCCCGTCGATCCCTCTCCCTCTCCTCTCTTTCTTCATCGTCGGCATCTGCATCTTCTTCCTCTTTGCCATCCCGATCGCCGTGCTTTCTACGTCTCCTCTTGCGATTCTCAGCCTGCCACAGCAAGAAGCTCTCCTCGTGTTCCTCCTCCTCTTTATCCTCCTCGTCCTCCCCCCTGCCTGCAGGTGAGGATGAGTCGGGACTGCCCGGGCGGCGATGGCGGCGGCGCCGCCGTCGCAGCTTGGAATCCCCCCTCCCTCTCTCTACCTTCTCCTCCTCCTCCTCTTCTTCTTCCATTACTCCTCTACGCAGTCTTTTGCTCCTTTCACCTCCGTTTTCTTCAACTTCATTACCCGCCGCTGAACTGGGCGCAGTAGATGGGAGATCTTCCGAACCACGTGTCTCGTAAGTACCAGAGCGCGAGAACTGAGAGAGAGATGAAGAACGACCATCCACCTTCTCTCCATAGCGATGATCGACGTCCCCGACGACAATGACTTCTCCCCTCCGACCATCGCCGTTCGGCTTCTCTTCTCCCCCCTCTTCATCATCATCATCATCATCATCATCATCATCCTTCAGCAGACCGTAATGCCGCTGCTTTCTCGCAAAAGCCGCCGCCACCTTCTCTTCGATGCGGTAGCGGTTCCCCATAGCCGACGCTGAACGTGGCACCATATCAAAGAGCTTGGAAGCGAAAGCCGTCGTCTCCGGTCCGGAGGGTAGTCCCTCTTCAATGAGTGTGGCTTCGAAACGCGCTCGATCTGAGGCCTTCTTCGCCAAGGCAATCATATAACTAACCAATCCGCTCTCCGCATACCCTACCAGAGCATGCAACTGCTCCGTCACCCAAACACGCAGCGACCGGTCGTCCGACGCCATCTTGACTGACCACGTCACCGTTTTCTCAGCCGCAAGGTTGCTGCCGCCCTCTACTGACGCTCACGAGAAATACCACACTCAAAGGCTGTCACTTGAACCCCGGTCGCGTGGAAAAAAGCCTACTGTACCAATCAACGAGGGGCCGGGGGGCGAAGGAGGTAGGAGAGAAGGGGGGGAGGAAGAACAGAAGCATTTTTTTCAAGGCTGCACATACCACCACTCTGCGCCCAAGCAATCGGAGGAGACCAACCACTCGGGCAAACACAGGGAGAGGCGGAGAAGCACACAGAGCGAGCAAAGAGGAGGGGGGCGGAGAGCATCTAGATGTGTATAAGAGACAGTTACCTACCTAGGGGTGGTCAATTCAATGACGATATCTCAAGGCCGTCGCCCTGAAAAAAAAAAAAAAAAAGAGAGACGATGTGCAGGCGAGAAAGGAAAGGAAGAAGACAGCAGCCCGGCAAGACTGCCTCAGCATGAGTACGGCACAAGAGATACACCCATACAGCACACACCGCAACGCATGCTCACAAAGACAACGAAAGCGAACATATCCAGAGGCACATGAAAAGAAACACCAATGATCCCAGTGCTCAAAAAACATTCGCATAGTTCATCAGCGCAGTCGATCCCCGACGCGTTTCGTCCGTCCCGCACACGGACTCATCAGGGGGAGATAGCAAAACACCCACTGCTGATACAATCACCCAAGGCATGGAGGCCATACCACAGCCTTGCCTCCAATATATAGCTAACCGATCTCCAGTCACAAGCAGCGTTCGTAGAAAGGCAGCAAAACTCAAAGATACCGAAACCAAGCACAACCTCCATCATCGCCACACCGCAAGCACGATCCATCTTACGAGACCCAACAACCGTCACCTCAGGGAAACAGGAGCGCTCCATCAGGGTGATCAGAGGGATGCATCTAACTGACTCATCCAAATCTCGCCCAGTGGACAGATTGAAACCATAAATCGCGACAGACGCCAAGCTGCTAAGTACGCTCAGCATCATCATGCTCCCAGCACGCGAGCACGCGATTCAAGCTCAGGAGCTGCTAGAGCACCCATCCGCCTGCTGCCATCGCTGTCCCTTCCTGCGCCGTCGCCAGCGCATAGCATAACTGCCAGCACCCGTCATCGGACGTGCTGTGAGGCCAAGTGAAGGAGCGTCTACCGCTTATGAACATTACACTCCCTCCGTCCCATCGTAACCGAAGGAAACTCGAAAAACATTTGAGCGGGCTTTTCCTTACGCAGTCATCAGAGAACACGTCCCCTAAAGTCTGAAAGCCTGACCCCATACAAGTAGAAAAACAAACAACAAAAAAAACAAAAACCCTTTACCGTAATCAGGCGGGAAAAACCTGCCTGCTCCTTGGACTCGTACTAAGACAAAACCCTAGCCAGATACCGAAGAAAAGGCGACGAGTCCGAAAGCCAATTGCTGACGTGCACATACGTGCCGGCCAAACGGTCATATGAGCAAGGGTACGCAAAAAAACAGAGGGCAGTACTGGCGAGCCCAGAAAAACAAAGCAAAACAAAACACCCGGGCCTGTTCGGCGACCGGCAAAGCACCCCATCGCGGTCGTATAGGAACTGTTTTGTTCCTGCTTGGCAAAGGGCCAAGCCCCACATCATAGGTAGGCGGTTGGGCGAAATTTGGCGCGCAGGATGTTTCACAGCTCGGCATCGATAGCTGGGCCAAGAAGCACTGGTGGCCCAGCTATCGACGCCGAGCCTCGAAACGTCCTGCCAGTGCGCGCCAAGTAAGGATTGACTGCCAGGTTGCCACTCCCTTTCCCATCCCTCTCATAAGTCTGTCCTATTCAACTGGAGAGCTAAGAATGAGGCTGAGGGTTGGTCTGCTGACTCTCATGTCCATATGGCATCTAGGGCTTCTACCTTCTTCCCCCGAATACAACGCAGGATCATTCAAGCTGTATTTGGACTGAAAGAGCCCCCAAATACAGCTATAATAAACCATGTGTTGTATTCGGAAGAAAAAGGTAGCTGACAACTGCCTTCTCTTTCCTCCTTGCGCAGGGGCCACTCGCTAATCTTCCTCTTTCTCTGTATCGTTCCAATTTTAACGGATGTCCGAAGGACTCTGCCTTCTCTTTCCTAATTATGCCAGTCCTTGGAATGAACAGAACCTGGTACAGCCAAAATAGTCCACGATTTCAGAAACCACCTTCATGCTTTCATGAATCATGAAGCTGTTTTTTTTTTGTTGTTTTGCTCTGTTCTATTGGTGGAGAGCTGCCACTGCTGGAAATTGGGTCCAGCGCTAGGCTACCAGCCGGGCCGCCCGGGTGAAGCTGTTTTCCGGGCGCCCCTCGTGCACGGACCAGGGAAGGTCCCAGCAAAAGAAAAGGAAAGAAAAAGAATGACGAAAAAAAAAACTATGTTATGTTATGCAGAAAAATAAAACTGTTCTATCGGTGGAGAGCTGCCAGTGCTGGAAATTGGGTCCAGCGCAAGGCTACCAGCCGGGGGGCACCTGGGTGACCTTGTTTTCCTGGGCGCCCCGGCAGTGCAAGGACCAGGGCGGGTCCCAGCAAAAAAAAAAAAAAAAAAAAAAAAAAAAAAAAAAAAACGAAAACAAACTATGTTATGCAGAAAAATGAAGTGAACCTCGTGATTATGTGCTGTTTGGTAATGAATGGATGCAGTGTTTTAAGAAAAAAAAATAGTAATCATATTATAATAATAAACTTAAATAAAGTGAACAACTTTGCCTAAGGGGCCTTGACCCACTAGCCAAGTAATACCACAACTCCGGATTTCGATAACGTGTGGCCTCGAGTGACGCAATACGGCCGTCGACAACATCCGATCTCGACGGCCTGGTAGTTTCCGAGCGGGGATTGTAAAGATGCCCACCTCCTGTCCAATGAGATGCGTCGAAAAAAAAATTTGGACATTATAGCTGGCTGTTTTGCGTGGGCGGGAAGTCTCTATTTCATGGATTTGAAAGGGGG